TTTTTTTTTTTTTTTTTGCAAAAATAAACTTTATTTAGTCTGTTGTTATCGTTTCTTTTCAGCATTCTTCTATTTAGTAAAATATAATTGAATTTCAACGCAACATTTTCAGTGATTGTACAAGTACCGTGTAAACGCTCTGAAGACTGCCCAAACGATAAGTGGTTTTGCTCAGCAGATAACAACTTATGTCACTGTAAACGAAATTTTGTACAAATTGGCCAAGACTGCTGGACAAGTAAATTGTTGTCATTTTTGCTTTGTTATATGCTGAACAATACACTAATTTTAATATTACAAGTGCTCTGTTACTGCTTCAAAATGTCGCTCGTAGTCCACCGATCATTGTCCATTGTGAAACAGTCCTGCATAAGTTTCTGCAAGGAACTTTAGTTTTATCGCTAAAAAAAACACTTGAAAAACTTGAAAAATAAAATTTGAATAAACTGATGTACCGTAGGTTAAAAAACCTCTCAAATTTATTTTTGTAAGAAAAATCTTTTAGAAAAGTTTTGTTTTACAGAAATTAAGATAAATGAAAATGAATGTTATTATGACCGACAGTGTACAGCTACATGGCCAACAGCACGATGTATCGACAGACGCTGCAGATGTCCACCACCGTCAGTTGCTGTTGCTACTTCAACCGGTATCGTTTGTACGGTTCCAGGTAAATCGTTCAATTATGCTGTTACTGACTATAATTTTATATTCGACTGTAACATTTGACACAAAGACGTTTTCTGAGATAGAAAAGTGTTTAAAAAATATATTACTACAATTCACAATAATTAACTGCAATAAAATATGTTAAAATTCAACTCAAATTACTACAGTTTAGTGAATCAACATACACACCTTCAGTGAAATACTATTTACTTCAAAAATGTATGAAGATTTTTTTCAGAAATAAGTCATTTACATGTAAGCATTAGGAAATATTTTTTGATTTCTCCATTTTGTACAGTAATTTCTAATATATTTATTTTACACCTTTTTTTTCAGTTTATTAAGACGAATTTTAGCAGCATTATCATAAAATTTAATTTTCTTTATTTTTTTCTAAAAAACTGTAAATAGGAACATTATTATAACAGTATTATCTCTTAGGAGAATGTCCCATTGGTGGAAGTCAGTCTATCTTACCACAAAGTTGGGGTTGTCATAACAGAGGAGAATGTGGACAACAAGGAAGACTAAATCATTTATACGATTGCATAACACCCTCGTGGACAGTTTCTTACTGTTGTCCAAATAGAGGTGTGTGTCGTTTTTGCAGAACACTTTTCCAAAGTTTTTTGTTTCGTAGTAATAGTTTCTTCTTTCCCTAAATACGGTTCTCCATATCAAAAAATGTCCCTCAACGCGACTCAAACTGTTTTATCAAATATTCTAACAATCATTAGCCTGTATCTTCAATAGCCGACATTTAGTCAAATTACTCCTCACTCTTTTTTATTTTATTCTAAAACGTTTTGTGTTCTTTTTCAAAAATTCTTTTGAAAGCTTAAAGTTGCAGTAAGTTTTAGCTAATACTTGTATGCAGCCGCTTATGCCAGGGAATGGAACTGGGCGTTTTCTTAAATATTATTATGACAGCAACATCAGGCAATGCCTGCCGTTTATGTACAGGGGAGGAAAATTGTCGAATGCCAATGTTTTTCAGTCGAAAGCTGACTGTAACATTTATTGCCGTTTAGGTTCTCTAAACTTTTGCTTTAATTCGTTTCTATTATTAATGTAGCAGTCTAGAGGAAAATAAGATAAGTGTTTATCAAAATTTTTTTATCTTTGTCAATTGTACCTCAATTTTTAGAGTGTCCAAGAGGAAATCCGGAAAGACTAGGAAGTGGCGATTATATACTTTGTGATAACGATAGTGTTTGTGGAACAAATTACGGTTGTTTCAAGAAACAAAGTGCTGACACCGGTATTTGCTGTCCAAAGCGAGGTTTGCTTAGCAGTTATTTTACGACTTTACGATTTCGCATTTTTTTTTATTAGTGCATTTTTTACTTTATTGTTCCAGAGTGGGTATGTTCTGCGAATGGTGCAAGGGAACATTTTATAAGCCATCCTATAGAAGACGATTTTGATTCTGGATACTTTTTACATCCCTCAACCTCAGTCTATGTTCCGGTGATACGGTGAGCCAATGTACAAAAGTCTTAACAAATCTGTTTAAATTTGGGCAGTATCAGGTAGAAAGTTCAAATATCTGTTAAAAACATCCGACACAAAAGTGCTCGAATTTTTTTTTCTAGATTCTATTATTCGATTAAAGAACATAGATGCAAAGCATTTCTATATAAAGGAATTGGTGGTAATTTTAATCATTTTTTAACGATGGATCACTGTCAACGATTTTGTTCCAAAGGTGAAAATTATTCAAAATTTTATAGTTTAATACAAATAAAATCGACCTCAATATACTCTGCAAAAAAAAAGTAAATAAAATAAATACGGAAATTCATCTCTTTGCAGATGAAGATACCAAAGCTGTCAATAATTCAGCAAAAAAAGTTCATTTTTGTGCCAATAGCCTGCAAGATTCTAACGAAAACCAAAAGTCCTCCGACAACAAAAATGGTTGGTAAACCGTTTCTGCTCTGCGTTGACACCCGCCTAAACATCCATACTGATTCGTTTTTACACCAGAAAACTAAAATCATTTCCACTCAAACAGTTATACTATTGTCCCTCACTAATTTAAAAGATTGTAATGACTGCCCTATTTGGAAGGTATACACTTGTAATTTTTAATTTTTAGATACTGTAATACGTGCCAATGGGTCTTTAAATGATGCCAAACTGATTGAACCATTAAAAGCTGGGATACCCAACGATGTTAGCATAGTTACCAGCACAGTTTCAGCTACTACAGCAGTTACAGACTACACTTTTAACGACTATAAACTGGTACATTTCTAAGCTGCTGATTGCTCTTATAAAATAAAAGAAGAAATATAGATTTAAGAATTTTTTCCTCTAGTTTCAAGAGATATTGCGTGGTAAGTGGTAATTTTGATAAAATCAATTTTTGATAGAGGATAAATATGACAAATTAAAACGATTAAAAAATATTCAGAATTCTAATATAGAAGTGACACCTAAAATATATTTGCCAACAACAGAAGCTGCACACAGTCAGCCAGCGTCTTGTCCAGGTTAGAGAATTGTAAAATAATTTGCCGTTACACGCTCATTTAATGTTTTAATTACGGAACAACTTTTCTTGATAATTTCTCTGCACTTTGCATAGACAAAATTTTAATTTTTTTCAGGAAATCGAGTTCCACAATATGACAGTCGTGGAAAGGTAGTTTTATGCAGCTATGACTTAACAATACCAAATGAGGAATCATCGCCATGCGATCCGAAGGGTTTGTACACATGCGCATTTTTTTCCGTCGGTAAAACAAGTGGTATTTGCTGTTCATCGTTAAGCGTTGATCAACACCGTTGTCCTGCCGGTTATGTTTCACTTATAGGTCTGGAACAAAAACCTGTTAGATGCTCACCAATGGAGTATGTTGTTTCATATTCACAGTTTTTGTCGTCTGATTGACGAAGGAAGAATTATTTAATATCAACACCTTGTTATAATACTTTAAGGATGACTTCCTGTATAGCGCATTCGTCAATTTGTGTTTTTGACGAATTTTATGGATCATATCATTGCTGCCGTAAAGCTGCTTTTCAAAATGAACTTTTCCGACTAACAGCACCACCGACTGATTTACTGTCGACACCATTAGAGGAGATTTTGCGAAAAACTTTCCCATTATTGGAAAATGCAACAACACAAAATTGGAGCTACGGAAAAATACCGCCCCAGGAAAATAATTTTGGTATAAAACTGTACTTCGATATTCTTTATTTTTTACCTTAAATCATGTATTTTTCTATTAAGGTGGAAAGATATCTATCTAGGATAAAAAATAAGCATTTATAGAAACACGGAATCACTGACTTTTTTTTGACAGTTATAGTTTTCTGAAAATGGATTTACTGTCATAACAACATGTATGCTTTTGCTAGTGTTTCTTTATTATCGCACCAAAACCTCTTTCATCTACCAGCAAGCTCTTGTGAAATCTAACCATTTATGGGTTAAGGTTGTCCATCGGCAGAAGCATATTTTGAGGACCCAATTGTTGGGGGAGTTTTGGAATGTGACCCGCTGAACAATACAACATGTCCGCCAGGTTTTAAATGCCACCGTAGTGCATTTCGCCAACGTTATCAGTGTTGTGGGCTCAACAAAAGTGTGCTCTAAATATATGTTTAGGCGATGAAAGGAATATTATGACAAAGACAACTTTTACAAAACCTAAAATTAATGCGATGCTCAGTGATTTATAAAGTCTATTTAGGCTTTGAAGAGTCAACTTAATAGCTAAATTTCAAAAGAAAACTGTGGAATTGCTACTTCTTCTCCTGAATATGGCCAGTTGTCAGGGTGTTGAATACTGAGGTTTTTTAGATTGTCCACTAAACAGTGCCGCGTACGTGAACCTGAAGAAGAATTTGCCACTTGGTTGCGATTCCAGACGTGGTTGTCCAACTTCTTTCTTCTGTTACAGAAACCCAAGTCGAAGAACTGATAACGGCGCGTGTTGTTCAGAAGACCCGCTGACAAGTAGGCATTATTAAAAGCTGTTTTATGCTACAGTATTTTCGTCGTCGTTCAATGGGTTGTAATGGTCACTGTGAAGGGATGTTCCAACAAGTCTTTTGTTTTATTATCTTTGTCTTTTAGGCCTATGTAGTCACGGCGTGGCGTTACGGGATGTTGACGGCAAAGCAGTGAAATGTAAGCACGGTGATACCTGTCCAGCAGGATACAGTTGCTTGAATAAATATAACATAAACATATGCTGCCCAACTAGTGGTATACTATAGTCGCTATTATTTGTTAAAGAACCTTTTTTTAATTATTAAAAGTTGTTCTTTATTTGCAAAAACTGATATTTTATCTAAGAATAAATTTTAGAGCAAGTCTGTTCACAGCCACCACATAAGGGATCAATTTGCGGTGATATAGTTCAACAAATTGGATACTACTTTGATCCCCACACAAAAAAGTGCAAGGAGTTTGTATTTTCTGGCTGCGGTGGTAACGATAATCGTTTTGAAACAGTGAGCGATTGTATGGAATTCTGTCGACCAGGATGTAAGAAAGATTCAGTTTTAAGTCATTTCGTTATACGAGTAGCGAATTATAACTGATAACATAAGCAGTTCACCACTATTTCCAGTGTACTGCCCAATAGGATTTCCACTTGTTGAGAAAAGCGGATATTTGGTCAACTGTTCTGAAGCTAAACAGTGTATGGCGGGTTATGAATGTATGGTCGCTGGAAGTGGTAATTATTGTTGTCCAAAGCTTGGTAAGATTTGTTCTGTCACTTAAAACAGACTGAATAACACAAAAATAGGTTTTATGCCGGACAACCGTAGGCAAATAAAGTTTGTTATTATTGGCGTATTCTAGAAATGGTTTGTTCGTTGCCTAAGAATGAAGGAAAAAATTGCACTCCGTATAAAGAGGCAGCAGCTAAAGTTACTCTATGGCATTTTTCTGCCGCTGATCAACAGTGTCAAAAATTTAGTTACCTTGGCTGCAATGGAAACATCAATCGGTTTGCAACGGAACAGCAATGCTCAAATACATGCTTTGCAGGTCTTCTCAATCTAAAACTTGTTTTATTTTATTTTAAAAAGTTTTTCAGTTAAAATTTTGATAAAGTTAATTACTTTGCTGAGAAATACGAATATTTCTAGTGTAAGTAAAATAGGTTTTAGCACTTTGCTCTATTGGTACAGTATATATGGTTAACTACAGTTTGGTTCACTGCATGAAAGAGTTAGATTGCCCAACTGGTTATTTATGCATGCCGTCTAGATATGGAAGAAGTGCCCTTAATGTTTGTTGTCCGCGTCCCGGTAGGTGGCTACTTTTTTAATTTCCTGAGTACTAATTGGCTCTTACAGGGTTGTACAGTAAATTATCGCGTTCTAGAAACACTGTGCACTAGAACCGTTGAAAACGACAAGAAAGAATGTGCTGTCTCAATAGTAAGTTTGACCTTAAGACAAAAATAAAAATAATTTTATTGCTTAAATGAGCATCTTTTGACACTTTAAGTTCACGAATTGTACGGCAACCAGTAAGTGTTAAGAAACCTTTAGTATCGTTACCAATACGAGGCAAAACAAGATCAATGTGTAAGTGTTTTACAAAGCGCTTGTTCCTCAGATACGACGACAACATTCGACAAAATGAGTGACTGCAAGCGATTTTGCGTCCGAAGTAAGCATAAATTATCGAAACGGACAGTGAGTCCAGTTTGTATGATATGACAATAGAAAGGAGTATAAGGGAATATAGAATACTTTTGCTTTTGGAAAATATAAATGGTGCATTCAGAATACAGTGTGTGTCCATCAAGTGAGCTCATCTATTATTCTGGACACTGGCAGAAAGCGTTGACGTGTTCACCAATCATCGAATCGTGTCCACCGGGACATTACTGCAGCTCATTTTCTTTATCGTCCTCATTTCGCACATGTTGCCCATGTAAACTTTTATATTCGCTATTGTGCTCAACTATTTTAAATTAATGGCTGTAATTCGTTCTAATTTCTATACCTGTCAAAAAAGTCTAAGCAAATACGATTCTGTTGACATCATCAGCATTTAGATCCTAAGTGCCGCAGCGGCAAGGATGCACTAAAATATGACAACGGTACAGTTGTAAAATGCAGCGTCAGAGGACCAGAAATTTTTCCGCATTGTCCATCAAACTACAAATGTCAGATGGTTCAAGACGGACAATACTTTTGTTGTCCTCAAGCGGGTAATTTTTGTTGACGGGTATTGGATAAAAAACTGAGTCACTAATATTTATGATAGTTTTTGAGGAACTGAAGCATTTAGGCGAGTAACCGTAGAATAGATCAAAATACTATTGGAGTTTCAGAGATTTCTGAAGTTTGCCCACCTGATTCTCGACCATACGTTAAGTTGAACTCTTTACCAGCATTATGTGCAGAAAAAGAACCAAGGTGCCCAGAAGGCTATACATGTTATGACAATAAAAAGTACTTTGAAAGTTATTGTTGCTCAGACGGCAGTGCTCCAGTTGAACCGCTGAATCCATATGGAAGACCGAATGGAAATCTGCTGTTAAACTGTAAGCGAGACGTCGTTTTTAAATTCATTTAGCATTTTGGCATTCGCTTTTAAAACTTTATGAACTTGTTGAGAAAAATTGCTGGAAATATATAAAATTTTCATGATATTTACACTGTTAGCTTAAAAGGTTTTACTTTGTTGTTTTTATAAAGCTTTTTACTTTTTTTTTAAAATTTTTTTTGTCTTATAAAGTGTTTTGTAGATCACCATTTATGTGTGGATGGCAACGAACCACTATCAGATTTACTTGGCGTAAAAATCTGTCACCTAGCACTTGCATATTCTTGTCCTAAGAATTATCACTGCGAATATAATCGCTATTTAGATAGAAATCAATGTTGTCCAAATGCAAACTCTGTGCCTGTAACAACGCGTAGGTCTTACTTATTTATTTGCTAATGCTAGAGATTTTTCGTCAATTTTACGAACATTTAATCATTTACATTCACTTTACTTGATCACATACTTAGATTAGACGTCAAACATTTTGATTATAAAGTAACCGTCCATTGAATGACTAAAAATTGAAGAGACAGCGGAAGTTAAACATCAAAAAAATTTGGTTTGTCCACTTGGCATGACTATGTATCCGCATCCTCGAACCGGTTTTCCAATCATTTGTCGGACGAACATCTACGGTTTTTGTCCTCAGCAGTCAACATGTGAATACAGGCAATTAGCAAGATTTATTACTTTGTCGTGTGACTGTTCAGTGCTAACGTTACATATGTAGAAATTAGTTTACAAATAGTGCCAAAGCCTTGATGATTTCTACTGAAATAATTTTTAGCGTAATTTTTGAAGCGTTATTCGTTTTTGTTTTTCGATCATTCTGTTTTTGTCTAAGGTAAAGGAATTCTCAACATATTGATTATATATTCCAGCACTTTCTATTGGCAGTTTATATGTTGCATAAGAGTTATTGATCACGACGGTACCAAAATTACTAACTCAGCCTTAATTTCAGGTAAATTTTATCAAATTTTTTTCAGTAATCAATGTACGTTTTGTATAGATGTTTAATAGTACCAGTAAATATCGTTGACGAACGTTTCCTATGCAATTCATTAATCTTTTTTTTAGCAGAATTACAGTGTAGTTTAAAATTCGAAAACTTCTCACTGATTGGTTAGGACACAGTTTCAAAGTCTTTTTTCTTTCGTCAATTTTTCAACAAAAAAATGTCATTGTTTCTTTATCAGAATGATCGGCTTTACTAAACACTTCGTTTTTCACTTTCATAATCACTTATATGGTGTGTTTAAGACGTTCGACCAATAATAGTACCTTGTTTTTCGGACGAACAATGCGGAGAAAATTTTGTTTGCCGAAACTCGATTTGTCAATGTCCGGAAAACTCGCGATTTTTCAATAATCAGTGTGTTAAGTGCTTCTAAAGAAATAATTCGAAAAAAACTTTTCCAACACTTTTTTGTGTTACAAAATAGAAGATAAACGGCAGTAAACATTAAACCTTACCGTCAAGAATTTCTATTTTTCTGCAGTTTATTACTGGGTACAAAAAAAATGTGATGAAGAATGATAGTAAGGTGAAAGCAGAGGTTATACTACTGTCAGTTGGACCAATGGTCTTTTTCGTCTAACGCCTAATTAAAATGTTTGGATGCTTAATATAAAACCATATTATGTTGTCACCATTGAAGAATCTTAACCAACTTTGACAGCACTAAACTGCAGTCATCTGTATGTTTAGAAAATTCAAAACTACTTTTGGAATTTGAATTTAAATAGGGACTGCTTATTAATGGAAATTATGGCAAAAAAAAAGGCTGAAGTAAAAACTGCTAAAAAATTTGATTTACAGTTGAGTACCAAATTATGATTAACAATGTTTTTTTCATATCTTTCGGCTCTTTCTGTTCTGCCTTTCATTCACCGTGGCTCTTCAAGTTTTACACAAAAGTTTTCTGATGCCTGTACATTTATGGCTTACTAATATGCATTTGTTAAAACAAATAATTCTATATGAAATTGAGATGTCAAAAAAAAAATAAAATAAAGGACACAAAGAAAATAAATAAACGATTAGAAAACATAAGTTCAATAACATAACTGTCACCGTGAATACTGCAAAAAAAAGTAGAAGGAAGATACAAGTAATATATTGAGCAGCAATTCGATAAAGAATTGTTATAACGCTAGAAGAAGATGGAGGAGAAGAAAGATAAACTTGTTTGAGATAGTGAAAAAATTTTAGCTTAGCAATTTGATTTATTACTGCTTAGTCAAGTTTTGAAATTTTAAATCAATTTTTTTTCTCTTTTCCATGTTTCTTCTTCCGCTTCTCAGTTTCTTAATGCTTTACTGCCATCTTTAGCAAAACAGTTATACCGTATATGATATACCAAATACTGATGTATGTTCTTTTTTTTAAGCATGATAACAGTTAAGCAACGAGTGGAAAAGGTGACTGAGATTTCAGTGATAAATTATTTTTCATCAATTTGAAAATCAACTAGAAAGACATTTTTTTTTTT